AACGCCCCTAACGGCTGCCGGGGAGCGCCTGGCTCGGCCGCGGGGCAGGCAGAGGGGAGGGTGCCACAGCGGGGACGTCCTTTGGGTGACGACCGGGAAGGCGTCTTTCTAGCCATGCACGAAAGAGACTTTGAACTAATGCTTCATACTGGTTTATATGTTGTTGTCTTACGTTACCAGGGTGCGGGCCGAAGGCAAACAGGAACAAAGAAGACACCTAGCCGTGACGTGCTGCCAGGGCAAGGTTAGGGTTTTGGGGGGCAGGCAGCAGAGGGGAGGGCTGGATGAGGCTTGTGCCGGGGCGCCGCTCCGTGTATGCTCAGGGAAAGTCTTCATGTCCTCAGAAACTGGACTGGGTCCTCTTGAACGTGCCGCATGTCCCCACATCTGGCTGGCTTCCAAGGGTCAGTGATAGTTGGGGAGGTTTTTTCCCCCGAAAGCGTTTCAAGGAGGCCCAGCAGTTTCACAGTGGTAGCAAGAAAACGAGAGCCCCACAGAGGCATGGATAATTAGCAAGAGGGCTTCCTTCTTGCCTCAGGCTGTACTGGCAGCGCTGATGGCTGCATGGTTTCATAACCAGGTGCAGGTTTATGTAATATGAATGGTTGGATAAGGTCAAAGGAAGCAACCTGAATTACCGTTTTCTTGCTATAGCCACCATCTTTTGTGATTTGCAGGCACTCACTGATTTCTGGCGAAAGTGCCAGCTAGATAGGATATCATTTAATAATTTTAACAACAAGCGGTTATCTGGCTCCAAGCAGTTCCTTTAGCTTGTTCACGTCTCAGCTGAATTACTTAAGAGTGCAGGTTGGCTTTTAAAAGAGTACCCTATAATGCACTTTATAATCCAGTGAGACTATGCCATCTTGCACTGTGCTTGCAATACAATAAAATATTATCCACTATTGCTACAGCCTTCCCTGAGGTACAGCAATTGCCTGTGTGTGCTTAAGTCGTTTTGGCTTAAAGTAAACGGCCATTGGAGTTTCAGCATAGTATATGCTATGTATGTATGGGATGGGAAGTAAGCATTTCAGAAAAGCGGGGTTTGCATCTCACCCTCAAAATCCCATTGACTGTATATCTTGGTCTTTAAACACCTAAATATCTTTAAAAATATGACCAAGCTAAAAAGAATTAGGGACGAAGTCTCCGCTGAATTTCAATGGGGTATGGCTGCGTAGCTCCCTGGCAAATTCCTTCAGAATGTGTTAAATGCTCTACTTCAGTGTTTCTCCTTCATTTGTTCTACGTCTGGGAACATGGGGATAAGGATGCTTTTGTTTTCCATTTTGTTCTCTCTGTTTAGACTGATAGTCCCCACCCCAAAAGAACTATCGCTGTGTGCCTAGACAACGTCTGGCACAATGGGGCCTCATATCGGTGCTGTAAAAATGCTAGATACCAGAAAATTATGTTTCTCCAGTATTAGCAAGGCACCCATTACTCTCCTGTCCAAACACAAAAGACAGTGATGTTTCCCCTTAAGTCCAACTAATCCCCAACAGTAGGATTGTTCACGTTCTGCATGATCTGTGGAGTAGCCTGGTCTTAGAGACACTGTAAGCGCCACAGTGTTATAAATCATCCTGCTCCTGACGTTAAGACTAAATTTAAACACAGCAAATTGTGGAGTTAGAAACAAAACTGAAGTAATCAACAGGGATGTGTTTAACTTTCCATTTGTGCTGCCCCTACTGTTGATTAAGGCTTATCTACTGTTTGGTGTTTGTCATTTAAAAAAAAAAAAAAAAAGAGTAAGTTATGGAACACATAGCGCCACGTTCCAGTCAAATGCTTTAGCAAAGGCTGCTGTTATGAAAAGGATTTTCTAACAAGGGGAATAATGATCTTCAGATTCTGACCTCCTGGCACAGCAGCGAGATTTATCAGGAGGGGCATGTGACTAGTTAAGACACACAGCCCCAGCTTGAAGGAAACAGCTGCTCATTTCATGCTTCTAGCACTTGGCAGCTGGACAAGGAAGGGTGATGTTTGTGTTGAATACCTCTGCAGAACCAAGTACAGTAAGTGATTTTCCTTGTTTTTATTTTTTTTTTCTAGACTGCCACTGCTTTCCTATTTTCATCTTAGACCTCTTGTAAAAACACTTACGGGTGAGGCATATTTTTGTCACCTCATTGATAAACAGTCATTCATGCTCAGAATGCCTGTATTTTTCTGACCTGTTATTAACGAGAGCATTGTTCTCGCTGTTGCAGGAACCAGACAGGTACCGTGTTTTGTCCTAATGCTAGCTAGAGGGGGGAAATGGTGTTTGTTTACTCGGATGCTGGTGTGGAGAGTTTGTTTACAGTAAATGTATTTTCCTTTCTCTGTAGTGCTCAAGTAGAGCTAGTTCATGGGTAATGATGCAAGTTGAGAAAAGAGCAATTATGATATTTGGCTTAAAAGTACTGCGGTAAGGGACTGACAAAGGTGTATACCTTTGCATCAAAATAGTGTGATCAGTCTGAAGAGAGTTGCTTGTGACTGGTTACTGGTCTGGGATGAATGAAGAGATTTTGGGGTAAGAAAAGGGTAGCAACAGAAATAAAGAGCAGTGAAGATGCGCTGAGTAAGATGTAATCAATTCTGGATAGTAATGCAGAAATAGATTGTGAAAATAAAAAAATCCTCCACAGAAACAAGGAGTGAGTCTTCTAAATATCTCTAGGTTTTTAATTCAGTTCATTTTTGTATACTTGCATTTTTGAAGTTTTTGCTTCATGAATGATTGATTTTCCCGTCCGATAATTTTTGACTCTTCTGGTCTGAAATTTTGCTTAAAAACACAAGAATTAGAGTACCGGATAGCTATGTATAAAGGAGCTTTTAATGAATTATTTATGTAGAGATGAACTGATTTTTTGCAACAAGACTTAGGAATTGGAACAAATGAACGGGTAATAGAGCCTGACATGCCGTGAGACTGAAAGGTGCCAGGTGCTTTGGGAAAGGTTTAAGGGAGCAGGGATAGAGAGCAGTGGGATCCTGTTGAGGAAGGCATCTATCAAGTTAAAAGGCCTGAATTTCAGAATGGGATCGAGAGTAAATCCTGGGAGGTTTAGTGAATCACGCGATCCTTCCTTTAAAGATGGGCAGAATAATCCTAATTCAAAGATTTCTCATATAGAAACGTTATCTATTTCTTCCTGAGGACTTCTTTTTTTCTTTTTAAACCACGGTTTATGGCTTTGCCAGTTAACTGGAAATTTTATGGGAAAATATCGATCAGTTTCTATTGTTCACCAAAACAGAAGTCTGCCTGGCTTCCTGCCTGTTCTTGTGTTGAGGGTAGGCTGCCTCTGCACCAAGAACTCGAGTACGCTCCGGCTGTGGTTTTACCACAGCCCTCCGGCAGCCAGTGGCGTGGGAGACCATGAATGCGGCAGGGCTACGGGGCCCCGAGGTGAGCTCCTGGCATTGCCTTCAGGAGCTCCTAAGCCCTGGAGCACTGGCTGTAACGGGGCCTCTCAGGCCCATCTGAGTCTTCATCCGGGGGCAAGGAGAATAACGGGGCTGCCCTCACTTTCTTATTCAGACCCCGGAGGAATTCTCTTTTTCTTCAGAATTTCTGAAGAGTGTAAATTCTTCACTTTGATTAACACTAATCCACTGGGCACTTGTTTCCAAACATTATATTTGTAATGAATGTTCTCTGTTAAGCAAGCTGCCAGGCCAAGTTGCAACTTGGTCTGATGAAGGACCATGCTTTGATCTCAGTTAAACCCCAAATCCACCAGAAAATAGATGAAAAAAAAATTCCTGCTGCATCTTCTTCTTCCCTAGCTCTAGCACAACCACTGTGCCAGGGCTGGTGCAGAAGATGGATGTAAAGTCACATGGTTCTACATGTGACTTGGTCTACATGCTCATGGTTCTACATTACTATCCTGCTGTAGACATATCCTGTGGAGCTGATTTTATTCTCAGGCCTCCCTGGGAAGTGAGCATAGTATTCATAAAAGAGAAGTAGAGATGATTCCATAGTAAAAATTACATAATTGCACTACTGAGCTCACCTTCAGGTAGCAGAAGACATGTCTAGAAGCACCCTGCCAAAGCAGTTGCCGAACTGTCTTGGAAAAGCATGATAAGAGGAGCTCAGTCGTGTTCTTCTATCCTATTGATTACTGAGGTCATTTACAATAAAGTAGAAAAAACCATCCCTTGGATTCACAAAATTGAAGTTGAACAACACTGCTCTATCTACAACTTCCAGCCATCATTACT